ATTTTTTTTTGTAGGCTTAAAATTTTATAAAACCAATTAAGGTCCTTTTATTTATTTTTTACTATTTTAACTATGTATTACTAATAGTTTAATTAATTATACTTCAAAATTTTTAGTAATGAAATTTAACTAATTTTAAAAAATATTTAAAAGGGTATGGCATATATTTGCTTCCATTTTCTATAAACAAAATAATAAAATAATAAAAAATATATTTATTAAACATTCCACTTAAAACTTTAAAGTTGAGTATTAATAATTTTTTATTAATTTTTTCAAAACTAATAAAATATAGATTCTTTACTTGTTAAAAAATAATGTTGTTGACGTGTATTCATTTACTAGAGATCCGACATTTAAATCTTTACGTTTCAAATATTTATCGAATAAAAATGTTCTATATTCTATTATATATATATAATTTATGTGATATATAATATATAATAAGGTGTTTGGATGAAGCCTTAACAATCCATATAAGGAATAAAGTTGGGATAAGAATATAAATAGCAAAAAGAATTAAGAAATAAAGTAAGGATCTCTTTGCAATAAAATCTCACCTATATCTCAACCACTATATCTCATCATTATCTATGTAACTAAATTAATAACCACTAATTTTCGGGGTTAAATTATAAATTGGATTATATTGGTAGAAAAAATTGAACTTTAGTCTTTATCGTTTAATTTTAGGGGTCAAATTTGTAATTTAGCCAAATTGGGTCGGCCCGTAAATTAAAAACTTCCAAACCAACCTCATAATGGGCTTCCATAAATTGGGTCGGCCGGCCCGTAAGATGGATCCAAATGTTTGTAACTTTTTTTAGGCATTTAGTGGTTGGGGCTTGCTTACTACGTGTTTTTATTACGTTGTAAGATTCTTCACTTGAGAAAACTATTCATTTTTGTCTCGTGCATTTAATGTTATAATACACGTAGCTACCTAGATGTCTCGAATGATTTACGAGAGTAAAGATTATCTTTATAGATCAATACGTGTCATTTCAATATAGTTTCTTCTCACTCACATGCTTCTTAAGAAATTTCTAATACGTCATCCAACACTAAATTGCTCTAATTCATGCATAGGACGTTCCATGATTAAATCATCGAACATGAAAGTCCACTTTGTAGGTTGTTAGTGCTAAAATGTCATCACTAGTCGAATAGGGTTAAAGCCCAACCTAATTATATTTATGATTTAAGATTTTAGGAATAAAGGTAGGAAAATGATTTAGAAATTTTAAGAATAAAGTTAGGAAAATGATACAGGTATTTTAGGAAAAATATATAGAAATTGTAGGAATAGATTGAATACCTCTAGTATAAATACCTCCACTCTACTTAGTTTATAATCTCAAGAAATCACAATCAATACAAAGTATAGTTTCTAGGGAGTCTATTTCTGATTGGTCTTAATAAAGTGTGCGGGTGTTTACATTGGTCTTAATAAAGTGTGCGAGTGTTTCCCACCGAAAGTTGTTGTAAATCTCTTCTCGATTGGTCTTAATAAAGAAGTGTGCGAGTGTTTACATTGGTCTTAATGAAGTGTGCGAGTGTTTCCCACCGAGAGTTGTAAATCTCTTCTCGATTGGTCTTAATAAAGTGTGCGAGTATTTCCCGCAGAGGGTTGTGTTCAATAGTTGGTATAGTCAGGAAGTGATTATCATATCTGACAAAGTATTGAATAAAAAAAAAACTAACCCAACCCAACCTTATGGTTTAGGTTAGAGAATTTAGGTTTTCGGGTAATTTAAACACCCCTAATAGCGTTTTTTTTTTTGGATATAGGACGAACAAGACTCGACGGTTACCGAAAAGTGGGCGTTAAAACAACAATGAATGACCTCTCCCACCTCCACCCTTAACCAAAGTGATTTGATTCAAAACTGGCAAAACACAGTACAGAGGAAGAGGAAGGAGATGTGAGTTTTGTTGACATTTTCCTCAAACTGGTGAGAGTTATAAGTGCCCATCTCTGTCCTTTGCACTTCATCACTATTCTATTCTTTTCACCTTCAATTATTGCAATAATTTTTCACTATTGTTGCTTCAAACTTCCTTCTCAACGTCTGTTATTGCTTGCCGGGTCGGTGGACTCGAGGGTATAATGTTAAAGAGAGCGTTGCAATAGTGGAAAGTTCTCCTAAACACATACGTTTTAAAATCGTGAGGCTGACGACGATATATAACAGACCATAGTGGACAATATGTGCTAGCTGTGGGCTTGGGATGTTAGATCCCGCTCAACCCTTAACAAAACACTATACTTTGTTATACTACAGAAGGGCTATCCGTGTCAAGTAATGTACTTAGTGTTACAAGATCGATCACACTCGCACACCCACAAATAGAAATTAAAAAAAGAGACAAAGATTTACGTAGTTCAGAGAGTAAAAATTCTCCTACATCCACGGGTAGCAACCAATCTCAATAATCAAAGTGTTTACAAAGTGTATATTTCACACTCTCATACTACAAAGTTTATCAACAAAGTTCTTCCAAATGTCACTCAACAAATACAAAATTACACTGTAACTAACCCTTTATATAGGAATAGAAATATTAATGTCATACATGAATCATGTATCATAATGGAATATGAACTAAAAAGGGTTATGAACCAGAATTATGAACTAAATAAAGCCAAACACATGCATAGAAGATGCATGAACCTATTCTTCATGACAACTTACAACACTAAGCATGAACATGAATCTCAGCTCAAAATGTAAGTTTAGAAGTAAACGAGTTAGTAGGACACGAAAAACGATTCAACGTGGGAGTTAGAACATAAAATATCTTATACATATGATATCACCAAGAACATCACACTCACACTTGTTCCTAGTGTATATAGATTAGTTTTCACGTGATACTAGAAAGCCGAAAACGTAGAGATTCGGCAAAAGTAACATCCTTAAGATGCTGTTTGTTTGATGTTGGGGTCGGATGTGTGTGTGTGTGTTAGGTAAGTGTCGAAGCAGCTAACAAGAGCTCGAGGTTTTCTTCGCCACTATCATACATGTAACCAAAAAGTTAGGACAGAAATGGACGTTTGAATAGGGAATTGATTTGATGAGAAGGGTTACGTTTGGGGGCACTGAGGGAACTCATTATTCATTATGTATATTTGACAAAGAAGATGAAAAGAAAAGTATGCATAGCACAAGTGGGGTGGAGAGAATGGAGCATATTACCATTTTTTGCTTCAAGACACTCTCACTTCCCCTTTTATAAAGCTGAGCCACCCCTTTACTTTACTACTCATCTTTCATTCACTGCCACATTTGTTTTTCACACCATTCTATCTCTATGTGTTCCAAGCTTTTGTGTGCATCCTCCCACTTGGCTAGCCCCCACCCGTCCCATCTTCGTCCCCATCTTAGATGTTTTTTCTCTCCAACATGGTTGGAGTGAGAATTCGAACATTTCTGACTTTCATAATAGATGTATATATAATGTTGTCTTAATGAGTTGAGCTATATTTAAATTGGAAAATTAATAAAAGATGTTATGTTTAAGGTAAGTAAGTATTGAATTAACCTTAATTTGTTCCAAGTTTTTGTATGCATCCTCCCACTTGGCTAGTCTCATCCCCGACTCTTCCCCGTCATATGTGGTTTTTTACGTTCGACATGATTAGGGTGAGAAATCGAACATTTCCGACTTCAAAATTGATGTATATATAATGTTATCTTAATGAGCTAAGCTATATTTAAATTGGAAAATTAATAATTATTGAGATGAATATCGAATTAGTTTTTCTCCCGCATATGATTATATTAATGGTGGTGGAAAAAATAAATATAATATTTAATTATCAACTAAAAATTTAAGAAATTTGTAATATATAAATAGAGACGAGATATAATAAACTTAAGTAATCATAAAATTATTTTTTATGTACAAAAAAAAATCAAAATATTCTTTTAGTCAAAATAAATAAATATATATATATATATATATATATATATATATATATATATATATATATATATATATATATATAAAGCATCACCTTTTCCCCTTCAAATTCGGTAAAGCATAAGTTTTGTTGTTTTCTTTTTTTTTTTTAAGATATTTTTGTTTTCAACCAAAAAAAATACATTTTTATTATTTATTCTAAAATCTATGTATACTCACTTCTTTTAATTTATAAAATAAATTAACACTGTTTTTATTTTATTTTATTTTTTTTAACTGATGATGTTTATTTGTTTTCAAAATCTAAATTGTATACCTAATTGTCATCGGTCGATTTATGTCTGTTCAAAAAAATGTGTATCTAAAGATGACGACTTTAGAAAGTTCCCAAAAAACGATATTACAAGAATTTGCGAGTTCATTAATTAAAAATAAATAAATAAAGTAGAAGAAAAAAAAAAAAGAAAGAAGAGGAAGTTAAAGTTGATTTGTGTTGGAAGATTTTTTTTTTCTTTTTTATTTTATTTTTCCTCATTTCTCAAATGTTGAATATTACAAATTTTTTGTGGACAGAAACAACAGAATAAAATCATTTCCCCATTTTACTAATTTTGACTCTTCCTTTACAAAAATAATAATAATAATAATAAATAAATAAATAAAAAGAAAAACTTTGACATTTAAATAAAACTCACACCACATGTTGCATTTTAGTGCTTTTATAATAATTCTAATTACAATTTGTTGCTTATATTTTTAAAATTATTAATAGAATTTACCGAACATAATATCATTAGTAAAAATTGATAGGCGTCATCGAGAGAGCTTTACTCGTAAACACGAAACTATACTTGCTTATGTCGAATATCCTAATTTAATTTAATTAATTTCTTTGAAAAAACGTGTTTTTTTTTGTCTAAGACGGACCCGAATTCCGAATACTTTCTTTCTCTATATAAATGTCTTCTTGTTTCTCTCAATTTTTGCCTCCAAAAAATCTCTCCCTCTCTCTCTCTTCCATTCTCTCTCTCTAGAAATTGCAATTCCATTTATTCTTTTTTTAAATTATTTATTTTCAACATAAAAAAATGGCTATGGCACTCTCTTCAAGTTCAGCCTCACTCCATTTGGGCTTGGGTTTGGGCTTTCCTACTAGGCCCATTAGGAAAAAGCCCAATCTGAGAAACGAGGTGATTTCCTGCACACTAAACTCCCCGTCTGTGTTCCATTACCCGAAACAGCCCAATAAACGGCCGAGAATCACGGAAGACGACGCTTCCAAATGTCGTCATCATCCTCCCCGCTGGAATTTACTGCAAAAAGGAGCTTCCATGGCTTTTGACATCCTCGAACAAGCCTTGCTGAATTACGACAACCTTAATCTTCCTAAAAACTTCGACCCACATGTCCAAATCGCTGGGAACTACGCTCCGGTACCGGAACAATCGGTTTCTCACTCTCTTCCGGTCACTGGCGCCATCCCTGATTGCATCAATGGTGTCTATCTCCGAAACGGCGCAAACCCATTATTCGAACCGCTCGGAGGTCATCATCTGTTTGACGGTGACGGTATGATTCACGCTGTTACAATCGGCGGCGGATGTACCAGCTATGCCTGCAGGTTCACTGAAACAGAGAGGCTTGTTCAAGAAAGGTCCATTGGCCGGCCGGTTTTTCCCAAGACCATTGGTGAGCTCCATGGACATTCCGGCATTGCTCGTCTTCTTCTCTTCTACGCTCGAGGACTGTTTGGGTTAATTGACCACCGTCACGGCACCGGAGTCGCTAACGCCGGCTTGGTCTACTTCAATGGTCATCTTTTGGCTATGTCAGAAGAAGACCTTCCGTATCACGTTCGTATCACCCCCTCCGGCGATCTGGTCACTGCCGGGCGGTATAATTTCGAGGGTCAGCTCGATTCTCCGATGGTCGCTCACCCCAAAATCGACCCGGATTCCGGTGAGCTCTTTGCCCTCAGCTACAATTTTACTCACAAGCCGTATTTAACTCACTTCCGATTCTCACCGGATGGGAAAATGTCGCCTAAAATCGAAATTCCGGTGGAAATTCCGACAATGATGCACGATTTCGCCATAACAGAGAATTTTGTCGTGATCCCAGATCAACAAGTCGTTTTCAATCTTCGGAAAATGATCAACGGTGGATCTCCGGTAATGTACGACGACAAAAAGACGCCCCGATTTGGGTTCTTACCGAAAAACGCAACGGATTCATCGAATCTCATATGGGTTGATTCGCCGGCTGATACGTTCTGTTTCCATCTGTGGAATGCGTGGGAAGAAACAGAGTCAAACGAGGTCGTTGTAATCGGGTCCTGCATGACCCCACCGGATTCCATTTTCAACGGACAAGACGAGGATTTGAAGGCGATTCTAACGGAAATCCGGTTCAATTTGGTTACCGGAGATTCAGCTCGCCGGCCGATCGTTTCGAAACCAGAGGAGGTGAACCTGGAAGTCGGAATGGTGAACCAGAGCCTTGTCGGGAGGAAAACCCGGTACGCTTATTTGGCTATTACAGAGCCATGGCCGAAGGCGTGTGGGTTCGCGAAAGTGGATCTCTGGTCGGGAGAGATAAAGAAGTACATTTACGGCGATCAACGGTACGGCGGAGAGCCATACTTTTTGGGGAGAGAAGTATACTCCGATTGTGAAAGAGAGGACGATGGGTTCATAATGGTGTTGGTGCACGACGAGAAGAAATGGAGATCGGAGCTTCAGATTGTGAATGCCATTGATTTGAAGCTCGAAGCTTCTGTGGAGCTGCCAAACAGAGTACCCTATGGTTTTCATGGCACGTTTGTTCATGCTAGCCAGTTACCACATCAGGCTTAGCACAAATTATGAACAACCATCCGGTTGGATGTAGATTCAAATTTTGATAGGATAGATTTGTTTATTTGTTATGTCGATATTGAAAATAAATCATTTAAAAATAGTATTAGAATGTTGATATAGTCGTCTAAGCTAGTAATTGCCTCTTGTATTTCGATGTTTACTTAGTTGTTAGTGTTTTCTTGTCGGGTAAGTGTTAAATGTATACTCGATTTTACATTTCGACCTTGAAGGACATAACTTAGTCTGGGTTTAACAATTAAGCTATAAACAACATAATCTCACAGCTAGCAAATATTGTCTTATTTATACTTCTCTCAAGATAATTCACAGCTAGTCGATATTGTCTTTTTTATACTTCTCATCGAAGTTTTTACAACACGTCTATTAGGGGGAGGTTTCTACACCCTTGAATGTTTCGTTTTTTCCACACTCTTATGAAGAATTATTCGTTCTACTCTACAACCGACGTGGGTCAAATTTGTTTCGGTTGGAGTGACAGGTGTAAACATCCTCAGATGGATTCATTAAAATTGCTAGAAGAGTCAAACAGCAGGGTGATATGGTCGTGTTTGGCTCCGACAGCCGCCACAGTTCTAAGAGAGCAAACTTCAAAACTTGGTGCTACGACGTGTTCCCCAAGTAACAAGAACTTTTCCAAGTAAAAGCCAACCATTGAAGATTTGTTCAAAGCCAACCATTGAAGATTTGTTCATACAAACAAATCTGTTGCAATAGTTTCATAAATGGCTTAGCTAATGAGATTTTAACATATTGTCTCGTTGGTCGTCATTCAGGCCTTGAGAGCCACAAACTGTTGCATAACTTGGACACTGACTAACTGCCTATGGCTGCTTAGGACTAATTATTGGCAAAGCTGTTCAACGGCAGTCACAATCTGGGGTGCCTCAACCACAGTCCAATCTTCCATGGTCGATGCATAAGGGGTTGGCTCGGTCTCAACGGTTTCAACAACCTGATGTCGATTAGTTCGGGATTGTAACCTTTGTTAACTAGAGTTTTAGCAGCTTGCATCACATGATCCTCATCCAGGAATATGTCAATATTGGGACGTGCTCTCCAGCTCTAACCATCTTCGTTCCCTCGGGAGAACCCATGACACAAACACGTTGATGTTGGTCATGGTCCATTTCTTCCTCCAAACCTTCTCTTAATGCTTCAAAAAGCAAGAGTTCATGCCTGCGAAGAATAATAAAGCGACTTATAGATCTCAAAATCCACCTCTTTTTGGGGCTTAGCATCCTCGTTGGCACACCGGTGCCCACCCTCCTTCAAGGCTCAGCATCCTCACTGGCACACTGCCCTCCTTTCAGGGCTTATCATCCTTGCTGGCATACCATTCGGTGTCTGCCCCCCTTTCAGGGCTTATCGTCCTTGCTGGCATACCGTTCGGTGCCTGGATCTAATACAATTTGTATCAGTTCAAGCCCACCGCTAGCCGATATTGTCTTCTTTAGGTTTTTCCTTCCGAGCCTCCCCTCAAGGTTTTAAAACACGTCTGTTAGGGAGGGATTTTCACACTCTTATAAAGAATGTTTTGTTCTCCTTTCCAACCGACGTGGGATCTCACACAAAGTATGTAATTCTATGGCTCGTAGCCATCTATAAGGCACTTAGCCACTGGACTCAAGGACATTCTCTATGGCACCATTACTCCCGATGAATCAGCTTATGTAGCTTACCATCAAAAGGGCTTAAACAAGACAACGCTTTCAACCATTTTATCTTCGCTGCCACGCCTAATGTCCTCAATAACTTGGTCATCAAAGGTATTCAAAATGGTTTTCTTGAGAGTAAGGACTTAATGAACCGAATGAAATGAAACTCAAATAGGACCATATCTATTAGTTGTTGGCATGGACAGTTACAAATGGTATTAGAGCCAGACACCTGACAGTGTGCCAACGAAGACAGAACCCTGAAGGGGATGAACACCATGCGGTGTGCCAACGAGAACGCTAACCTCCGAATGGGATGAATTGTGAGATCTCACCTCAATTAGAGAGAGGAACGAGTGTCAGCAAGGACGCATAGTCTCAAAGAGGGTGGATAAACATTCTTTACAAGAGTGTGAAAACCTCTCCCTATCAAACGTGTTTGAAATTCTTTGAGAGAAAAGTCACCGTCGCTACAAGCTCAAACATGGGTCGATTTTGTCCATAATATAACTCGGAAATATTTAAAATTTCTCAACATTAATTCAATCTGTAAATATAATCCGTAAATATGATAATAGACTTCAAAATATGATTTAGATAAATTTTACTTCTGCGTACCCAACACGTGTCCACAGATGGATTACATTAATGGGTGAGATTTGTTAAATTACTGAATTGCCTCTTGTGAGACGTGGAGGGTTTTGATTGGAAAGTGAAAAGTATTTAAAATCTGGATTTAGCCGATTAATTAGGTGGCCTTTCGCCTAACTTTTTTAATTTTGTTTTTATTAGATGGGTTTTATTTATTTATTTATTTTATAATAGATGGGTATTAATATTTATGGGTTTGCTTTTCTGTTCATGTATTTTCAAAGTTTTTAATTAATATGTATGCCGTTCTTATTTAGTGAGATAATTTAAATTGGGAATATGGACTCAAAAATTAATAATTCTAAAATTCTAATTTTTTTTATTTTAAAAAACAAATATCCAAAATACAGACTAGAATTCTTTGAATTCTAGTTAGAAATATCAAATTTTTACTCAAAAAACTTAAATTCCAATTTAAATTTGAGGAATTTAAATTTCATCCCAAAAAAAAAGTTGACATTTATTATTTGCTTTAATTATGCTAAAATGAGGGGTTAGGAGAGGGTTTTAATGGGTTTTTTTAGATTTAATTATTGTCATTAGGTATTAAAAAAATAATAATTGTGATGAATTTAAAAGAAAAAAGGTTAAATTTTTGTTTTGAAAAAATATAAACACATAAAATATAACTAAATTAGTGTAGGAGCTCGGGGTCTACTCGGGTGAGGTAGATTTTTTTTTTTTACCCACCCAAAATTTTAAGTTGGTTGAATTTAGTAGATAAGATTTACAACTCAATCTATCCCAATTCTCTATTTTCCAATTGTCTTGTTTGATTGTTCATTTTTTTTAATTATTTTTAAAAAATTATTTATTCATAATATTACGTTGATAATTAAACTACAAAATATTCACGGGTCACAACATATTACTAACATCAGTTACAAAACGTCCAATATTCTAAATTTTCATAATAATCTTAAAAGTAGAGTTGGGTTAGAATCCTATTTTTTGATTCGTTGGGTTGACCCGATCAAAAATTGGCGTCATGAACTGACTTGAATAGTTTGTATTAATTGGAGAGACTCGCTTGTATATAATAATTTTGTATATAATAATTTTAAGAACCTCCCAAGGCTTTGACAAGTTTTTAAAAACTTTAAAATTTATTAAATAAAAAAAATTAAAATTTTAAATATTATTTTTAAGAATTTACTAAATTTTGTTATTTAACCTATATTCTTAAGTATTATTTAAAAAAAAAAATTAAATGTTGGTCATGGAATTGGAAACGAAAATTATATTAGTCTCTTCTTTAATATACTCTTAACATTATTTATACAAATGAGTGTATTCATATTCATTTATTAATAAATTAATTCCAAAAAAAAAAATATATATATATAATCATACTGTTCATTTATTTTCAATTGTATAGATAACCTTTGATAGGAAAAAATCGTGACTAATATGACTTTTAGGTCAAATATTCATACCATAATTTATTATTATTATTATTATTATTATTATTATCATTATTATTTATTTAGAACAATAAATAAAATAATTTAAATCTTTTGTATATTAATTATCGTTAAGTTAGGTTTAATTTATAATTTCTAAACTTTGAAAGTAACGTTTTGAAAGTAACTTTGAAAGTAGGGTTGGTTTATAATGATTTAATTTAGTTTTATAACAATTTAATAATGTCCTTTATTATTAAAAAGTTATAAAATTATTTTACGATTATTCTACTGTCGAAAAACATAATAGAGACCGATAGTTACAATTTTAACACATACAGATAAAATTGTTACAAAATTGAAACTACGGAAATTAAATTATCAACTTTATGAAAATTTTGGGACTAAAAATAATTTTCAATTATTTATATTGATAGTTTGAAAAAATGGGCCTTAATTAATTCTGTAGGTAGGTGAGCGTGATGCACAATAGTCAATAAAAAAAATTTCGGTTGAATTAAATAAACCATATGGTATTGACTTTATAAGATTATTTTTTTTATTAAAAATAATGGATTAATTAATAAAATTGGGCACAACGAAAATTCCAAATTCAATGGATGAAATTTTAAAATGAGGTGGCAATTGGATTATCTACGTGTCAAAAAATAAGAGGTGGGAAATGTCGGGGAATTGTGGGCCCTTTTTCCAGCCCACAAATGAGTTGGAAGAACCGCCGAACCCACTCGCATGGGTTTGGTTTCACTTCCACGTGATCACTTATTTTTTGCACGTGAAAGAAAAATTCATTAAAAAAGAAAAACAAATAAAACAAAACAATGGGTTTTTATTTATTATTATTATCTTAGGATTATAATAATATTTAATTTCAACGATATTAGTTTATGAACATTTAACCTTTTATTATTTTTTTTTCTTTTTTCCATTTTGAGTTTTATATTCTAATCACAAAAATATATATTTATTTAAGATATATATATATATATATTGGTACATGATTTTCTTATATTCGCGTTGAAAAAAAAAAAAAGAATTTTAGAAAGGATTGGATTGTAGGATTCATCTCAGTCCAATTTAGGGAGAGAATCGTCAAGAAGTAGATACTTCAAAACATTTATAAATTTCAGTCGTTAGAGTAACCCACGTTTTGTTTTGATAGTATAGTTAGACGTTTATGCAATCCATGTGGTCCAAACCTCAACCCCAGTCTTCGTAGGTCGATGGATCCACCTGTTTTCTCCTTCTAGGACATGCTATCGGGTTGACCTCTCAAGCTGAATTTTATGGCCAAAAAAAAAAAAGGCATGTTGATAGAGCTAGATAGGGAGGCGAGACTAGTTCGTAGGTCTCGACCTAACCTGTAAGCTAACCTTCTTAAAAACCTATTACTTAATAAGAATTTCTTATGCATAATATGTGGGGTATGAAAGATTCAATTTAGCCGTGAACCATACTAAGCAAGTAAAGCTCCAACTTATAAAAGGGGCCTTGACCTAGCTTACTAAGCGTTGGTTCGAGACCAGCCAGTAACCTCGAGGGAAGTAGGGAAGAAAAAACATCGAGAAAAAAAATCCACTCGAACTATCTTTGCTACGAGGATTACTCCATGTGATCTCAATTAGTTTGACCGCGTTCACGTCTCACCATTCTCTTGTTTCACTAAATAAGGAAAGTAAAGCAAGAAAGGGATATAGAATATGAAGGGCACGGGTAGATAAAGTAGGAATTTGGAGGAGTTGGGGACGGGGATGAGGATGAGGAATATAATTCTCGTCCCTGGCCCCGCTCATCTAACTAAGAAACATCTCTCTCTACTCCCTTCTCAATTTCACTAGATTTCTCATTCCATTCGGGTGGGTCCTACAGAACCTTGGCCCGATATATCTTTTATTTAATGTTATTTGATATAATTTAGCTTAAAATAAAACATACAATAATATAAATATTAAAATGAAAATAATAATAATAATAATAATAATAATAATAATAATAATAATAAGAACAATTAAATGGTTGGAAATTTGAATTGTCCACCGCAAAAGATAAGACGGTTGGCTTTAGCTATCATTGTCAAATACGACTCCACTTTCCACCCTCTTTTTTTTTTTTTTTTTTATAATATA